TTTTGCATATCTGATTTGTGTAGCACCGTGCATCTCTCCGGACTACTTTTCATATTTTATTTGCGTAGTACCGTGGATTTTTTCTAACTACTTTTCATATCCGAGTTGCATGGTTCCATTCGTTTTTCCGGTGCCTCCTCAAATCTGATTTGCGTAGGGTTGTGCCATCATTCCGACCCGACCCATATTATTTCTCTTTTTCAATAAGGTCGTACCATCAATCCGACCTTTCCTATATAATTTCTATTTTCTAGTTGGGTCGTGACATCATTCCGACCCTACCCATATAATTTTATTTCTTAGATTGTGACCACTTTCAACCATCAAATCTAATACTCCGGTGTATGAGCATGTTCGGCCAATTTTTTGGTGACTTGTTTAATATCGACTCATCTATTGATTCCAACATGATCCATATACTTTATACTAGATTTTGAGCACTTCCGGCTATTTCTCTTTTTCAATAAGGTCGTACCATCAATCCGACCTTTCCTATATAATTTCTATTTTCTAGTTGAGTCGTTACTGGCTCTCCATTCTCTCAGTGACAAAACCCATGCTTTTAAACAGCAAATGTAGGATTTGAACTTCATGGGTTTGTGTTTTGTCTCTCAGTAACAAAACCCCTGCTTTTTTAGATCTATGACTCTAAAAAAGTTTCAAGAAAAAAACAGTATCTATATTTCTCGTTTCTCAAATATTACTTCCTTAAAATAAGGTTTACCCTTCAAAAAAAAATCGAGGCAAAATCAGTAAGCCAAAAGACTGTTAGAGCAAAATCAACTTCACTCCAGAAAAATGCCAAGAAAAAAAGGGATCGACTTAGATTTCTCTCTCTGTCCTTTCAACCTCTTATCAGTTTAAGCTATATCAGCACTGGATTGGAGGATAGCTCACATGCTGTGAGCCCTTCAATCTTCACCATGTGGTGAGGGATCAAATCACACGTACGTAATAATCCCCTCCATCCCCCTATCCCTAAATAATGAGTTTAAATTATACATATATCAGCATATACCCTTTTTTTTTACTGGATGTATGTATGGTGGATATTGCTTGTAGCGAAGTACAAAAAATAAATTATGGAAGAACTTTGTAGGGACTAACTAAAAAGTAAAATAACTTCATACCTCCATATCTAATCTTTGCCAAGTTCCGGACATGTTGAGAACAGACTTAGAGCATATAGGGCAGCGATACCTATACCGAAAGGGGAAGACGAGTACAATATGTAAGTTAACCATACAGGCTGATTGGCATGAAGAAAAAGAAACATAATAGTCATGTTATGGATAGAACTTTACTGGTTCTGATGGATCATCTCTGTGTGGCATTCCATATGCATTGTATGTCCACACTTCATAATTGTGGTGCCTTTCACTGAGTCGAAAAGAAACTGGACCGAACCATAAATTTACTATTAGGGTATAGTTCCAATCAAAACATATGAGCAAGTTAAGGCAGTAAGAGCCAAATGAAGAGTAGACTCAAACCTCATAACAGATGGGACAATGGTTCTTCATTGAGTTCTCCACACATAAGTGATTATCACGCAGCTCCACCGAATAGCAGGATCCTGTTGCAAAAACATCACGAAAGTAGCTAAAAGAGAAGTATTCCTAAAGCTTAATGCATCAGAAAAATAAGGAGACTTTGCGCATATGATAAAACATTAATTCACCTCTGATGACTTTTTATAAAGAAAATATTTATCTTCATCAAAAAAGAAAACATTTATTCTAATCTATTGAAATCCAGCAAACTATGCAGGCATATGTTTGAAGCCTTGCAGATGTGTAGGAAGGAGAAAGAAGTTGTACAGATTAATCTTTTATGACCAAGGTTTATTAACATCTTATTATAATCTTTTAGTTATAAAAGATTATAATGGATCACTGAAAAGACAAAGAACACTAATTGGTGACCTCAAGATGAGCGAGTTCCCCTTCCAGTTTTTGCCTTATTAAGACCAAGGTTTATTAACAGCTCAACTTTATCAGAGACTTGCAACTAAAATTCGTTCTTCGCCAACATGAATTTAGCATCCTCGGAACCTGCATCTTCCCATCTAAAAAGACTTACAGGACCTATAGACATGAGACCTTTTGAGTTAGACATACTTAATTTACAAGGAAAATGTACTTATGTTCCTTTATCCATTACAAGGATATGCCTGACTGGAACATACCACAACCATTATTATACAAATTTGGAAGTTAAAAGAAACTTGTACTTGACCACACATCATCAATAAGATTCTCCAGAACCATAGAGCGACCGATGAATCAAGAAAGAGAGAGAAAGGATTCAACCCTATTGACAGGTTTCCTCTCTATTCTGTTAGGATGAGCAGCTATAGCTATTTGACTTCCATTATCCTTATTGGTTTTATGTTATTTTATTTCATTGATATAGAGATGCATGTCGTGGCAGATCCAAGATTTTAAGGTCGTGGGTGCTCTCTTAGCTAAGGTGGCGGCGACAAATATAAAATGTAAACACACGAAAAAGCCAAAGGGGGTTCAACACACACACACACGCACACTATATATATATATATAAAAATTTTACCATATATAAACAATGTAATTTTTTTGTCGTCTACCTAGCTCCGAACCCACTTAGCTACCAATCAAAAAATGTAAGTGCATAAATTTACACTTCGTCATAAAAAAGACAATCATATTTGAATATTATAGCTAAAAAACAAAAAAAATTACAATAAATATTATTTTGAACAAAGAAAATAGGAAAAGTAGCAAAACGACAAGTGAAAGAAAATAGAAATACAATCAATATAACATAGGGAGTAAGGAAGAGAAGAGTTGGTTTGTAAAAAATTTAAAATGTGCCGACTGGGAGTCGAAACCAGATGCAAAACATTACAAAGGACCTTAAGCACCCACAAACAGCCACTGCGCCAATCAAACAATTTATTCTATGGGTGCTCGTCGTTTAGTTTTATACTATTCCTCCTAATTTCTATAGAAATATATTTAGTTGGATATGAAGTTAATGGGTGCTCGAGCCCCCGGGAGTCCCTATGTGGGTCCACCCCCGTGCATGACGCCAGTAGACAGCTATGAGATGGTAGATGTACAAAGCAATAATATAGTTGTACAAGATTAACCTTCCAGTTCCAAGGATATCCCTTTATTACCATATTTCTATCTAAGACTCAATGGAAAGGGCATTTGAAAAGTAAAATTTCAGAAAGGAACTGTCAAATGAGAAAAGTACACTTCCACAATACAGTTTTAGAACAAGCTATAGTTGAAAAGAATCACTAGTTGAGAACTTGAGATATAATCTACACCTTTCTTTATAAGGTAAGGGTTGAGATATAAACTACACTATTCAAAATTAAAAAAGAAATCGATCCATTTTGATACAAGGAAATCCACAACAGTAGTCAAACAACAAGGAGGAAGAGATGCCTTACCACACTTCTTGCAGTGGAAGAAGTTTTCTCGACCACCGACCCTGTTTCACCAATTACGTATATAAGTACCACAGGTGACATATATGTTGTTTAGATAGTTGGAACGAGTAAGGAAGTGTAAGGGCAGAATGGAGGCTGAATACAATATTATTTAGTGCATTCACCTGCAAATTCCACAGTCATCACAGTGAAACTGCCCCTTTGTTCTCTGAAAGAAAAGTAATTACTTAAATACAAGTGCATCAAATGAATTAAATATTTATTTGGTTACTCTAGCATCCAAAAATAGAACAATCTAATTTAAGAGAAAAATAAAATAGTAGCATTACATTGTCATCGTAAAATCTACAAATTTCACAATAGTACTCCCCAAATTTGACTCCACACTCTGAACAGATCTCAGCAACCTATTTAACACAAGACAGAAAAAAATTATCACAGACTATAACGGCTGAAAAGTCCATAAACTTGAGACACTCAAATGATAGATAAGTGTAGCGATAGAGCTTAACAAACCTGTTGTTCAGTGTCGCATACAGCACAAACAACCTGTAGCAAAAAATGAGATCCAACATCAATCCCCATAAAAGTTTCGAGTATTCATGAACAATCTTATCATCTGAGGAAATCAATAATATGAGCTTTACTCGTACTTGCTTAACATTGTGGCGCACAAGTTCGTGCCGTTCCTTGGGATTGGTCAAAGCATTCTGATTCCAACAAACACAAGCTTCAGTAAAAACCATACACAGTTTATAAAGCAAGGAAGGTCCATTTAACGTTTTGAAATATGGAACTGACAATAGTAAGGTCTCTTACTATTATAATGAAACAATAGCACCAGACCATTACAGAGAGCGGAAACTAGTTAGTATGTATGTTGGATCCAGAGAATCCCACATTAAGGGCAAAAGAAAAAATGAGTGTTTGTCCATCTATTTCCAAATAAAATACTTGTGTTCGCATGTGATAACTGGAAATTGGTTGTTCATAGATATTATGGATGGATTTTGACCTGCGACTTGTTAATTAAATTTTACTATTTGGGACAGTTAATTAGCAGCAGGACATACATGTAAAGACTAACCGACTGTTTAGGTTTTCCAAATAAGGATGGAGTATGTTCTACTTCAAAATAAGTGATAAAAGGGCTCCGGAACAGTGGCTGTTGTAGTATTTTTATAAGAAAGCAGCAAGCACCTTGGCCTCGTTGTGGCAGTGACGGCAAGTGAAAATTTCATTGCAACAAGGGGCTCGGAGTTTACAGCGTCGCCGATAATGATCACATCTATTTAAGGGACAGAAAATATGAATCATTATACAATTTTGACAGGAAAATTAACACAAAGTGGTGTATGCATAATTATGTACCCATAAAGCAACTTTCCGACATCTTGTCTATCGAGCTCCTCTTCGGTCGGCGGCGGCGGCGGTTGATCAACGACAAAATTGTCACCGTCTTCTTCCATGTAGAAGGTTCGAGAGTGGTGAAATTTGGTTGCGTGTGGGCAAATGGTGCAGTATATATCAAGTATTTAAGGGTGGGTTCAAGATCCACTACTCAGGGATGGATGGCTGCTCAAATTCATACTGGGCCCATTTAACATAAAACTTTACTACAGTATAAATTTATGTTTGTTAAAATTCATTAATCACACTATAACTATTGAAATTAATCATAATTAGGACTTCTTCATATTCATTTCATAACATTCTATTAAATTTTACTCTGAACCCGCATTAAGCTCTAAGGCTTCAAGTGAAAGGGATTCTTTACATAGATAGGTGGGTATGCCCTTCCTTTAGAGTCATAAAGCGTAAAATAAATAGCTCACTTGAACCTCTCTAAGTGTACTAGTGCTTGTTTAGCTTAGATCTTGTGTGCACTCATGTGTTTGGTTTGACTGTGTAACCAAACTCGCAAGAAGGTATGGCCTAACCCTGCTTCTTCAAATGTAATTTCTTTCTCAATGGCAATATATATGGTATATAAAAAAATAAAAAATAAAAAGATAAAAGATTAAATACTCGGAAAGTAGGTAAGCATAGAGGGAACTGTTATTGTACTACATTTGTTTGCAGTATAGGCAAGGATATAAGTATATCATTTAATTTGTTTGTTGTTATTATATATATAGATAGATAGAGTAATAAATTAGGTTGAAATATATATAACTATGGGGTGGAGAGACATGATTTCAACAGCTGGTAGCATTTTGATCCAGTTCATGAACGTATAGTACACATTTTCCTTTCCCTCCGAATCACGATCCAGTTCATGAACGTACACATTCACCCTGGCCGAGCAAGCTCAACATCCATCATTACTCCATTTTCCACTTTAATTTTCTCATACATGAAAAAACGATTCTTCAACTTGGACCCTATAATTTATAACAAACCAGAAAATAATCAGCTTTATTTAGCTAGCTAGCTCCATATATACATGCTAGCTACTGCACATCATATTCCACAAAACATACTTATAAGACATTTGAAAGTTAAGTTTGAGGTGGAGAAAGTAGAGCCATACAATGTGATTTTCATTTGATTCTCTACTCCAAGACAAGAAATATCATTGGATTAATTGATTTGTGCCTCTTTTGAAAAGCCTGAGTAGAAACATGTGATAATAAGAAAGAATTATAACATGTCAACAATTGGTGTGGCCACGAAAAGACCTGCTCAAAACTGTAATCCTAAACTAAGCTTAATTTCCAGTGCACTCGTCCGATTATATATATGTTTATAATCACCAACCAATGTATTGGAGGAATTTCTCAATATTCTTGTTTAATTGGACTCTCAACACTGGGCCATTACACTCTAAAAACCTTTGCCACTACACTAGACAATAGATATAGGTTAAAGTCTCAAGTATCGGATTATTTATATATAATATAACTACTCCATTATTTTTACCGGACACAAGGGTGTTCAGTGAAAAACGAATCATTGATTGTAGTAATGGGAGTGGTCCAAGTCAACATTGCAAGTGTAGTGGGGACAATGACCCAATAATAATTCCAACATATTTGGAGCTGGCAATTGGCTCTTTACTCTTCGCAATACACCAAACAAACCACTAATCTGTAACTATTAACTAAATTTTTCTGATAACACAATTGTACATTTGACATCTCTCACGTCTGGCCCTTTTCTTGTTGACACATTAAAAAGATTAGGGTATGGTGTTGGTTCAGGAATTAGAAATGTAGAAACTAATTATGTAAGATTTAGTCATTCCACATTTCACACCGCACCTAAAATAGTACTATTGAACAAATGGTAATATTTTCTGTTCAAAAGGAAACCTACTTGTGCCATGAACAGGTTAAGATATTATTGTCCACATTGAACCATTTATAATCCAGGGGTTGCACGGACAATATAGAAACACCAAAGCATAAGATTTACACAAAGATGTGGCGTTTAAGTGACAATCAGGAATATCAAGGAAAAAAAGTGCGCGGCTGAAATATTTAATGAAAGGGGAATTCAAGTGCCACCAACTTCTGAAAAAAAGTGGTGATATACTAACAACTGCACAAGTTGCCTACTCAGGCAAAGGTCAAAAAAATATCGCTGCTATTTCCTTGGCTAACAATCAAATCCAGCTGTACTCACTTCCATCTAGTGCCAAGAGAAGTCAATATCACCAAGGTATCAGCTTGTTGCCTCAGGCCAAGTACTTGAACAAGTTTGGGTTCTCTTTGTCTCTTTCCAAGTAGTCACGAGTGATAAGATCTTCAATCCTCTTTTTGATTGCTTTGAAATCAGGCTACACAGAAATTTTACATTATTTTTCGACACGTACAAGAGAAAATTCAATAATTAGAATAGACAAGCTAACACATCTCTCCAACTAGAGCCTATAACTATTTTTCAGGAAAAATCATTTGAAGGCAGAGAAGAAACTTGAGAAGGGAATACGATGAAATATATTGGCAAGTTTGGGTTACAAAGATGACACCTCAACAGAAATTCCAGCACTCTGCATATCCTACTTTATATATCTATAGATACCTCTCTTAGTTTTGAGGTGGTCACACATTCCTCAAACTAGAGGAAATAAACTGGAGGTGAGAAAAAATTTCAGGTAGTTCCTCCCGATACCTATGATAAAGGACAAGTAGTTGAATGGTTACTTATTTTGGACTGAATAACTCTCTTCATTTAAAATTTTGACCAAGACAGAGGAAGTTCAAAATACAACAAAAAAGATAGCTGGACACAGAGTCAATATCCTCCTGTTACCCCTGTGGTCACCCGTCATCATCACTTCTCCATTTTTATTTTTATTTTGAATAGTCGGTACTAGGAGAAGCAAAACAAGCAATAACCATCTAAGATATTCTATCAGCAAAGCGATCACTAGGACATTGATGACTTACTTTTAAAAATGAAAAGATGTTTTAAGTAACACGCAATTAGATTGCAAGAAAGAAAATGAAATGTCTGGCATAGAAGCAACAACATTCCTCCATGTCAAATTGAATGTCGTGGTTATTAGGCAGACCAAAATCATGTCCACTTTCCTAAATGGAATACCTAAACTGAGGAAATCCAAATGGTGAAGATGCAGCATACCTTAAACATGCGGCTCAATTGCTCAACACACTCCAACACGAGCTGCTGATGAGGAAGCACCTTCCGGCTCTTCATAATGCGCACAATACAAGCATCAATTGCATAACGTCTGTCCTTGTCAACATCCTCAACCACTTTTTTCCTTTCATCCACCGGAGGCAAAGGGATCTGAACGATACAAAAAGATCATTGAGAAAAAGTGTCCACAAAGCATACACAAAGTAAGCATCACGGCAAAATATAAGTAGCTCTAAACAGTATCTATACCCTAATCCTCCTCATTCTGTCAGTGAACTTGGAGTTAAATTCAAAATGATCCGTTGATGAAACAGTTCTATTGCTAGGCTCTTTGGTCAGAATTTTATACTTGGCACATGACAGGGATTGAAGCAATCTGATCAAGTCATCGTCAGCCAAATTTAACTGACTTTTGATATCTGAGTAACTCAATCTATCTGAAGCATTAAACAGTAATAGAGCAGCAGCCTGAAAATGAGATCATTAATCAGTAACCATATTTGGTATCAGAACAGCGATGCTGCAGCAGAACTATTTCACAAACTGATCACCTGGTAAGTTCCCACAATAAGTTCAATAGTTTTTGATTCAAACTTGCCATTGATATTGCATGTACCCAGTGAATAAATCCAGGTCAATTTCCTGTGTTTCGTTTTCGTCTGATAAAATTCCTTGAAGACTTCTACACACTTCACCTGAGATACCAACAGAGCAGTAAAACACCCATAAAAAAATAAAAATAAAAAAAGGAAAGATCAAATCAGCAGCAGAAATTGAATCATTATATCAGATGAGAAGCAGATCTCACCATTTCCACAGGGAGACTCAGATCAGAAGATTTATAACTAGGCCAAAAGCCAGTTGTAAGAACTGTGACAGTCAAATCAATTCCAGGATTAGCTGCCGAGTTGTTACTGAGATATTCCTGAAAGTGACTCTGATTTTCCTTCGCCAAAGTCAAGTCCGTAACCTGTTTTGTTATTTCAAACAATAAGTGTTGACAAGACAATTTGAACGGGGGGAAGATAAAATTAGTAGTACTATACACTCTCCTCACCATTCCCTCCATCTTTGACGTAAACTGTCCACCACACTGCTGCTTTAACTTTGTTAAGATAAGCCTTTCATGGTCATCATTGGCACTTTTATCAAAAAGCAGTCGCCGAGAAAGCTTCTTCCTATAAAATTATGAAGACAAATACATATTCAATGGTTAGAGATGTAACAAGGAACTAGTTACTGGGTCAAAAAAAAAATTGATGTAGCTTCCAACCTGTAGAACTCCGCAAAAAGGTCTTTGTCACTGATATACGCAAGAAGCTTGACCACCTATATGAAATATAAACAATTATGAAGTTATCCTGAAAAATCGAGTGACCACCAGAAAGCGAAGCTGGATATAGGGTTAGTGCTACCTTATCTAATGTCTCCTCAATAGCATCATCACTGAGTTTCTCACTCCCGCCCTTCTTAAGGATATTATCACAATAAGAGGCAAGGAGCTCTGCACTAGAACAGCCAGCAACAATTTTGTTACAGAAAACCTCAAATGCCTCTTTCAAAGCCTATAAAAGTTCAGAAGTTAAGACATCAGAAATAACATCTCAAATTATTCAAGGTAAAAAGTATAACCACGCAACTGTGAACAGCTGGATATACCTTGTGAAAGAGAGAGTTATTTGCAAAACTGTCGGTCACATATGCCATATATTTGTCATGCAGCTCAATAACCTTCCTAACAAAGACCTGAGGAAACAGATCGGACACAGTTGAACCATCTCCTGAGCTATATTACACTTAAAAAATCAACTTGAGTAGAAATTCAGATAAGTGGATTTACCTGCTCCTGTGAACCACTGGAACTTTCAGCCTGTAGAATTACATATATATCAGTACTTCAAAATGCACTGAAATCAGTTACTACCAAAAGGAAAAACAATAGCTCGCAGATCATAAGAACAGCATGTGGATGCAACTTCACATATATCTTTGTATTTCTGATAATGCTATTTAATCTACTCAAAGACTTGAACTCCTTTTTTTTCTAGATTATTTGATTGTTCTCAAAGATAGGTTGCTCTATGCATTCTCCCCTTCAACTTCCCTTGTTTTTTCCTACCCATACACCT